CAGACTAAACCTATGCTAAAGCAACTAGTGGATATACCCTGTGAGACTCTAGGGAGGGGCTGTCCTCATCTTCTTTGTCTTCTCACGTTCCTGCTGTGGACTGAGAAAGCGCTTGCTCTGGAATGTCCCCCCTCCTTCCTGATAACTTTGATCCTCCATTCCAGTATCCTCCTTGCTCACGCCATCCATTACACATACCTTATCAGGTAGTTGACTCTTTTCACAGGGCCGCACTTCACATAGCCTGATCTCTTTCACCATCTCGCACATTGGGTTCTTGTTAGTGACTCTGGTGGAGGCACCCATTCCACAACTGGTAGAACACGCACTCCATTCTGTTGTCTGCTCGATGCAGTTAGAACTTGAGTCAGATGCTTCAATCCCCAAGGTAGCTTCCTGTCTGAATGCTGAAGACAAGATTTATAGCACTGAACAGCCCTGTTGCCCAGAGGTCCTCAAACAGTAAAATATTAAGATACTAGCTCAGAATTGGAAAGGATGCATTTGGCCATAAATGCGTGGTTCAGTCATGTCCTGTAGGCTACAAAAGACTTTACAAACTGCAACTGGTGCAAAAAACTGCAAACAAATTCAGCCATGAGGGACACACCAGGAAATATATTATACTGGTCCTGCATTAGTTCCAGTCTATTTCTGGGCCCAATTTAAGTTACTGTTGTTTATAAAGCTCTAAGCTATCTGAAATGACATCTTCTTCCACATGGCCCTGTCCATAGCTTATGACCTCCATTTGAGAACTTATTACATAATTCACCATCAAAATACATTAGATGGGTAAAGATTATAAAATAAGAATTTGCTGCAGAGAAGAACCTAATAATGGAAATAGAAAGGTTAAGCTTGCTGTTTTCTTGATCTAGTTTCCAGCTGGTATGTTATTCTTCTTCTGAATGTTTATTGAGGTAAGAGTGGACAGCTATTTTTTTTCTCAAGGTTTTTTATTGTCTTTTTTGTGTACTACATTGATTTAATATTTGTTTCATATGCTCTCTTGGTATCTTATGACCAAGGGGAATTCTACAGATATTTTCATTTGAGTAAACTGTAATTTTAAAAATGGTTTTCAAAAAGATATGTATAAGAAGGATCACCCAGAAGTGTTTCTCAATCTTGACAACTTGAAGATGTGTTGAAATCCTCACCCTCCCCATCACATCCCCCTCCCTCCCCACACCGCGGAGGGGGCCCCGGGGCGGTGCGCGCGGGGCTTCGACCACACGC